ACTGGCAGCCCCTTGGCCTTGGCCTCCATTCGCTTCTCCTTTCGACGCTCGCGCTCCTTCATTCTTCGAAGTTTTCGTAACTCCAGCATCTCGGCGTGCTTTCGTTGTTTTTTCAGCTGGTTTTTGCTCAACGGTGTGGCGGGCGTGGTTCCTGGACAGCTGCTCAGAGTAATCTCCACGGGTTGCTCTTGGTTGTGTTCTTCCTCCTTTATATCCATATTGCTAATTTCTTTAATTAATAATACAAAATTTGATACGTTTGTTTAGCAAAGCATGTTTAGACTTGTATGGTTCGTTGGAACAACCTGTTATCGATTCTCGGTAAGCATCCAGCTCTAGCAAAACGACCACCTCAGTTCGTTCATGCGAACTAGCTTGCCACTGAACCTAGTCTAGTTACCTATGCATCCCTGGATAAACATATCTACAAGGGCTACCGCAAAAAGTACTATTGTGATCAGTTTTCGCGAAGAAGTTGAGCTGAAAAGGGCTCTGGCTAGAAAATTATGTACCAGCCACCTCTGCCGCCGCCGCAAGATGTGCCCACACAACCTCCACCACCTCCGCCACCAGCTGAAGCCATAGAATTGCCCCCAACAGGCCTAACTCATGATGGCCAACCGGTTAACATTGAAGCACCTCCGCCGACTAACTTCGATTATGCACAGCACCCATGGAGTGTGAACGATGCTTACAATTCGCAAGGTTCATCTATGAATTATGGCAAATATGACGCCACAGCTTATGCGCCATATGCAGCAGCACCTCCGCCGCCACCGACATATTCAGCCAACGCAGCTCCTTATTATTATGGGAATTATGGCTATCCTGAGAGCTATGCAGCACCGCCATCCAATTACGGAGCCAAGCCGTCCAGCTCTGGCTATGACTCCAGATCTGATTACAGACAGGGCAATTACTCCTACAATTATCGTCCGCCCAGTCACAACTATTACCCTAATAATTATCAGAAAAACTATGGCGGCTATAACTATAACAATCGCTATGAACAGAGGTATTATAATCCACGGCAGTCCTATCATGCCAACCAAAGGATTCCCAAGAGCATGCCCAACGAGGCGGCAAACACACCCAAGATGGAAACGGAACGGGACCGTCTCTTGCGTCAGTGGTGTTCAAACTACTGTGAGAAGTCCGAGGACTACATAAAGAAAATGAATGCCTTGATCGAAGCAGAGGCGCCTGCCGAATCCTGGGTGCGCTCATCGCCTGCCGAACTCTACTACGAGCGCACAAAGACCGAGCACGAGGTGAGGGCCAAGCCACGCCTCCACAAACGCTGTGAGCTATTCCAGCAGCAGCTCATCGAACGTGCCGAGAGAGTGAGGAAGACGCTGCCCGTCTATGTGCCGCCTGCGCGAAAGACGCGAAGACGTGCTTGCAACCACAAGCATAAATCGGAGGCGTGTTCCTCCAGCTCCGATTCGGATTCGGATGAGGATGCCTTCAAGATCGAGCAAGACTGCTGCATGGAAGAGCTGTCGCGCAAGATGGAGCACCCTCAGCGATTGCATTCCGATCTGTGGCACAACGATGCAGGCGAAATGAACGATGGCCCGCTCTGTCGTTGCTCGGCGAAATCACGACGCATCGGCATACGACACGGCATCTATCCGGGCGAGAAGGGCTACCCACTTTGCGATAAGGACACAAACAATGCGAGCAAACTTTTTCATTATCGCATCACCATTTCGCCGCCCACGAACTTCCTGACCAAAACGCCGACAATCATCAAACACGATGAGCATGAATTTCTCTTCGAGGGCTTCTCTCTGCTCTCCCATGTCCGGCTGACGGATTTGCCGGTCTGCAAAGTGATTCGCTTTAACATTGAGTATACAATTGAATACGACGAGGAGAAGATGCCAGAGAACTTTACCATTCGCGAATTGGATTTGTTCTGTAAGTCATTTCACGCCCTCTAAATAATATATATATAAATATGTTCTTCTCTTAGTTAAATATCTGTTCCATGAGTTATTGGAGCTTGTTGACTTTAATCTCATGCCGAATGTCGAGCAATCCTGTCCAGCTTTTCACTTCCTGCCACGCTTTGTGCGCGAGCTGCCGGACAATGGCAAAGAAGTGCTGGCCATGTGCGAGGTATTGAAGTATCTGCTGGATAACTCAGCGGAGCTGGTGGAACCGCAGCAGCTGCAGCACCTGAACGACATAAGCCAACATGAATGGCAAAAGTATGTAGATTACATCAAGGGCATGCTGGTCACAAAGCCTGGCTATAAGCCCTGCTCGCTGCGTGTCGATCAGTTGGACCGAAATAATTCCGATCTACCCGAGTGCTTGGACCGAGAGAAGGGCATCTCCCATCCAGCGATTGTGCACTTTGGCATACGCCCGCCTCAGCTGAGCTATGCTGGCAACCCGGAGTATCAGAAAGCTTGGCGTGAATACGTCAAATTTCGTCATCTAATGGCGAATATGTCGAAGCCATCATTCAAGGACAAACGCAAGCTGGAGGACAAGGAGCAGCGGCTGCAAGAGATGCGCACGCAGGGACGAATGAAGCGAAATATAACTGTGGCCATCAGCTCGGAGGGCTTCTATCGCACAGGAATTATGTGTGACATAGTGCAACATGCCATGCTTATACCTGTACTAACTGGACACCTTCGCTTCCATAAGTCCTTGGATCTGCTGGAGGAGAGCATTGGCTACAAGTTCAAGAACCGCTACTTACTGCAATTGGCTCTGACGCATCCTTCCTACAAAGAGAACTATGGCACCAATCCGGATCACGCGAGGAACTCGCTCACAAATTGTGGCATTCGACAGCCAGAATATGGAGACCGTAAGATTCATTATATGAACACGAGGAAGCGCGGCATCAATACTCTCGTTAGCATTATGTCGCGCTTTGGCAAGGATCACGAGACGGTATCCAACATCACGCACAACGAACGTCTTGAGTTTCTGGGCGATGCTGTGGTTGAATTTTTGAGCTCGATTCATTTGTTCTTCATGTTTCCGGAGCTGGAGGAAGGCGGTTTGGCCACGTATCGTGCTGCCATTGTGCAGAATCAGCATTTGGCATTGCTAGCCAAGAAATTGCAGTTGGAAGAGTTCATGCTGTATGCCCACGGCTCAGATCTGTGTCACGAGCTGGAGCTGCGACACGCCATGGCCAATTGCTTTGAGGCTTTGATGGGCGCCCTACTCTTGGATGGCGGTATCAAGGTGGCAGATGAAGTGTTCACCGATGCTCTCTTTAGGCAAGATGACAAGTTGCTGGCCATATGGAAGAATTTGCCAGAACATCCGTTGCAGGAGCAGGAGCCACTCGGCGATCGCAGCTGCATCGATGCCTACCGCGTGCTCAAGGATTTGACCAGATTTGAGGATTCGATTGGCATCAAGTTTAAGCACATCCGCTTGCTGGCACGCGCCTTTACGGATCGCTCGATTGGTTTTACGCACTTGACGCTTGGCTCGAATCAAAGGCTGGAATTCCTAGGGGATACTGTGCTGCAGCTGATCTGCTCGGAGTATTTGTATCGACATTTTCCGGAGCATCATGAGGGACATTTGTCTCTGCTGCGCTCCTCGCTAGTCAACAATCGCACCCAGGCTGTGGTCTGTGACGATCTGGGCATGCCCAAGTTCGCTGTCTATGCCAATCCTAAGGCTGACCTAAAGACCAAAGATCGGGCGGATCTGCTGGAGGCTTTTCTAGGCGCCCTCTATGTCGATAAGGGTCTGCTTTACTGCGAGCAGTTCTGTCATGTCTGTCTCTTTCCGCGACTGCAGCTCTTCATCATGAACCAGGACTGGAACGATCCCAAGTCGAAGCTGCAACAATGTTGCCTAACATTACGCACCATGGATGGCGGCGAGCCGGACATCCCCTACTATAAGGTGGTCGAGGCGAGCGGACCCACAAACACGCGCGTCTATAAGGTGGCCGTCTATTTTCGGTCGAAGCGCTTGGCCACCGCCAGTGGCTCGTCCATACAGCAGGCGGAGATGAATGCAGCAAAGCAAGCGCTGGAGAACTCCCGAGATCTGTTCCCCCAACTCGATCATCAGAAGCGCGTCATTGCCAAGAGCATTAAGAAGCAAACAGGCAGCGAAATGGACAATGATGTGGACAAGGCAAACGATGATAAGGTGAAGAAGCCCAAGTATGCAGCGCCGCTGGAGGATGAATCGCATTTGCCGAAGCAGTATCGCATGCATGAGAATATATCCAGTGATGAGTTGCCAGAGGATGATGATGAAGATGATCAAGGCAGAGCCACTTGTAAGTACTTTTAAATGCTTCAGGCGAGCAGCTTCAATTGACTTGTTTCCTTCTTTTTATTTCAAGCGCCTGTTCATCTGCCAAAGCATCGAAAAGGCAGCAGGAGCCGCAGCAGCTCCAGTAGTAGTAGCAGCAGCAGCAGCAGAAGTGATACAGATAGTGACACGTGTACTACGCCAAAGCGTCGAGCGCGTCAAGAGGATGGCTCTGTTTCGCCAGTCTCTTCTTCCTCATCGTTATAATATAAATTAGATTTAATAATCTTTAAGATGACAAAGTAACATAAGCAATAGATAACCCCCATATGCCTATTCGAAAGCTCCTATATTTAGTATATAAGTAGTAACTATTAATTTGCCTAAAATATGCATTTTATTTTAATTAGTTATTGAATTTCAAAGGCAATCGTTGCATAAAGTTTGTTTAAATAATATATATACAGCTTGACCATAGAACTTGAGTTTTTGTTATGCCCTGTACCCATTCAAATGGTATAATGATTTTGTTTTTACTTATGAGTGAATCTCTTTGTCATTTTTATTGAAATGCTAAAAATGTTTTCAATACCGAATACAATTTACACCAGTTGCAGCACTATTTCCGAGTTGTACTTTAGTTCAATTTCATTGAACAGCGATTGCATTTCAAATATGAATTTGCTATAACTTAACTCGAGCACATCAAATAACAAATCGGTAACAAAATAAAAAGATCAGGAAGATAAATTTGTCGTATAGCAAGAATTGTAAATTTAAACAATCAAATTGATTTCAAGAATGCCTATCGGTACAAAATGCAATGCAAATTCAACAACGTATTTAGTCAGGGAAGCTTAAAGTTTACTTAAAGAGCGACAGACGGCGTCCAAGCGATCGTCCGCTGCTATTCAAGGCGTTCGTAATGTCCTTCAACTCTGGCAGATTCTGAATGTCACCACGAGCTGCCACCGAAGGGACAGAGTTAAGAAGTCTTTGAGCAACGCGTTGTATATCAGCGGCTGTTACTTTTTCTAGAAGAGAAAGAATGTGTATCACATAGTTCAGTTATCACTCCGAATATATATATATCTAAATTATCTTACCAATCTCATTGATGAAGTGTTCGGGTCGCTTGCGATACCCCGTAACTAGAACTTGACGTCCTACATCTTCGAACACAACCGGTCGGGACTCGAGGTTCATCAGTAGCATCGATTGCAATTGTATTTTGGAGCGCATCAGCTCTTCGTTGCTCGGCTCGGCGGTCATGTTCATCAGTTCTCGTGTGAGAACCTCTACCATATCTCGCATATGCTGTGGCGGTGCACTGCCGTGTATGCAGAAGAGACCCGTATCCACATAGGCATGATTGTACGCTGTTGCGCTGTACATCCAATGGTAGCGATTCAAGACTTTGGTATAGAGGCGAGAGTACATGCCCTTGCCTGGTCCTCCAGCAGAAAAGGAGCCGCCGCCTCCCATCATTATGTTAAGCACACACAATGGCACAAAATCTGAGTCTTGGTGAGAGCAACCCTCAAAGCCGAGCACAACGTGCGCCAGCTCCGGTAGTCCAGCCGCCGCATATATCGGAATTTCACAATGTTCCTTAAAAGGTGTAAAAGAGCTTCATTAACGTATTCAGGAAATGCTTGCCTATCGGCTCATACTTTAACTAAGCCGCCCGTATACTGAGCTTGTGATGTGTCCACTTGATTGGGCCCTGTGCTTGTCAGATTTTCGTTCATCCAAATGGCCTCGGTGTCGACAAAATATTTGGTAACATGGTCAACCAGCTCATCGTGATCCACCTAAGGAGAAAGAGAAGGGCACATAGGATGCATAGGACTTGCGGGTGCGTGGATCAAAAGCTTACACCAACACCGGCGATGACCATACGATCCGGCGTATGATGATATCTTAAATAGTTCATTAAGACGTTGCGATCAATGCTATCCAGATTCGATGGCGGGCACAGTTTTGGCAAACCTAGCGTGTTTTCCTTATAAGCAGCCGCATGTATCATGTCCATGAGTATTGGCTCCTGTTCGGGTCGCATGCCAAGCGTTTCCAACTCAAAGCTTACAGCCCGTCGTGCCAAATTCACTTCCTGTTCGCTCAGCGTGGGCCTCAAGGTTACGTCAGCCAGTAATCGGGTAACGGATTCAATTGCCCGACTATCAATGCTCGCTGCATAGATAAGCGTGTCCCTTGAGCTTTGGCAATCACAGATGCCGCCGTTTTTTTCCAACTCCTTAAGAATTGCATCCTTATTGGGGAAGTTAACTGTCGACTGGGAGTTTGATTAAAGAAGGGAATAAATAATTTATATTTTTATATAAATGTATGGCCATTGGCATTATAGATTGAAGTGAATGGGATGTCTAGCGATTGCTTGCAGATCATATGTAATGTATGACAGGGAATGGCAATGAATTACGCCGATGCCATGTGTATGACACGGAGTGAATGGCAATTACCTTCAGACAGAATTCATTCACGTAATGCACATATGGGGATAGATGGCAATGGTCGAGGAGATGAAATTAAATTTAGTGGAAACTTACATTGAACGCAAGTTTCTCAAGAAAATGGGAAACACCACTGGGATAGGCGACTTCGTATCGTGGCCCGGAATCCAGAACGAGACCAACGGTGCAGAATTGTCCGTAGCGTGGCTCCGAGGCGATGCGTAAGCCATTCACCAGTGTCGTCACCTTTGTGGTGGCGCTCTCTACTAAGGGCTTGGCATAGACGGCCTCCGGCAAGTTTGGCAGCGGTTCGGTTAGGGGCGGCAGGTGCGTAACAACTTCTTTGGACGGCGTGTTTACCTTGTGTGGACCGCCGTCTTTACTACGCACACGTCCAGTGATTTGGCCGATGCCGGTGCCACTACCAATCTCATCCCCACCAACTACCGTTACTTTTGTGGCAAAGCGACGTGGAAATCTAATTGAGTAATAATGGTGAAATGCATTATTTTTTTACCGGTTCTTTCTGTCGTTAAGCACACACACACACGATTCTTACGTGCGCCAAGAGTTTCTTAGAGTTTGCAGCATAGTGAAGCTTCTCACGTTCATGATTTGCAGGTGATTTGGGTCTGGCCTTGAGCGTTTGTAACTATATTTACAATTTCAAATGTTGAATTTTGCTGCGTTCAAGAAATCTGTTTCAAAGACATACTTTTGAGGAAAAAAAAATTGCTCTTCTTCTTGACTAATGTCAATCACAAATGTCATATGGGAACTAAATGCGTAGAGTTGTATTTTTTAACATGTATCGATAACAGCTCGACAACCGTGAAAATTTAAAAAACGATTTGTTTGTTGTATGTATTTTTTATTAAGGTATTTTATTTATATAGCTTGAATGTGTTTTAGTGTATTACAAGCTAATCAAAGTTAAAGCGCCGCTTGCCATCAAAGCGATAGCCATAGGCTGCTGCGTTTTTCGTGTCCACCAGTGCAGGATTGCGATGCTTGAAAAAACTGCCATGCCCGTGAGCAGGTCGAGAAGCGCTATTTGGTATGCCCTCCACTTCGCGAGGATAAAAGGCTTCAAACATTCCTTCAGGCGGTAGGCAACACTCTACTATTTTGGTATCATTCGGATCATAAGCGTTTACACTGACTAGCTCATGTTGTGCGCATAAAATAATCAGTAGTATATTCAAAAGTTTCGTAATTACAATCATTTCAAGCTGTACACACGCGAACCTTCCTTTTACTTTTTGTTTGTTTATTTTTTGTACACAATGCCAAACTTGTTTTGCGCTTTGTGTTGTTCCAATTGCCGTGGCTTCCGTTATACTGATTACACCTTAAGCCGTTCTCTGCGTGCTGCACTCGATTCAAGTTAGGTGAGTTTCTATCATATTTTCTATTTATAATAAGCTTTGGAATAAGCTTTTTGGTGCTTAAGATTCAACACAAAAATGATTTAATCACAAGTGGACCATAGAAATGTTGGTATATTGATGTAAAAGTAAGTCAAGTGCTTAAAACTTCTCATTTCTTATTGCATTTTGGCAATAGTGGTGAGTTTTAATAGCTATCAAAATCTCCCATCACTAATTGAGTTGAGCTTGTTCAATTCGTGTTTACTTACTATCACGCTCATCTCTATAAGCTAAATCAATTGGTCAATGTTTCGCGCCGGTCTGTTTGTTATTTTCTAAAGCACGAGTGGCGTCATTTCAAACTTCTTTTATGTGGCAGCGCCAAAAATCTAAACGATGTGCACATAACAAGAAATGCATTTCATATATTGCTCTCTTTTAATAAAAGTATTTTAATTGAATACTTTAACAAGTTCCAAATTATATAAGATGCAATGGTGGCAAATTCAAATGAATATCGAAAAATCCCATCACTAAGGGGGTTGTACTTTCATTCGTGACCCCTATCAGAATAATGCACATCTCTTTTGCCTGGAGCAGTTGGTCCATTCAGAGCGAGTGGAGTCGCCAAAAGGAAGCGACACAATTTCCTTTCTTTCATCTATTAAAATATTCCTATATTAATAAGGCATTTAAATAAAAATATAAGTATGTCATATAATCGTATGGAAACGCCCTCGGACTTACGTGAAATGCAGAGTAAGTTGAATGGATTCAAAATATTTTAGAACTTCTTCGAATGCTGATAGCCCGTAGTATGTATTTGTGTATATTTGCATATACATACATATGTGTGTACAAACATTGTGATAAGTATTGTGGCATTTCAAATGCTGTGAGGCATATTCATATAGAATATTGATGTGCAAAATTCAACCATAAATTGCTGATGGAGCATAAGCTCATAAACGTAGATGTGCATAATTGTCGGCATTTTTCCTCTGTCCCGTTTTAACTACAGGGGAAATGCAACTGCATACGTGTGTGTATTTATTTGCAACTCGACTCTTAGCATGTATGTGTGTATGTCGGTATGGATGTGTGTATCTGTATACAATATGCGTTTTTTCCCGGTACAAATGACGCATCAAATCTGTGATATGGACAACTAGTTTCGCATTCGTAGATTCAACAAACCTGCTCATGCAAATAATTAAAATAACACAACAATTGTTTTTTGAAGGGCCCATCAATAATGGAGAGCGCTATCCACCAATACCCTTACCACCGCCGCCGTCTCTGGGAACGGAGACAAAACCAGGAATGCATATAAACCCATCGACATTTTTGGATTCTGCACCGATTATAATAAACAATTCAGCGGTGTTGGTGGTGGAGGGACAGGACGAGAGTCTGGATACGAAGAACCTTATCTTCAATGACCAAACTATAAGAAAGGGCTTCATACGTAAAGTGTACTTAATACTTTTGGTATGTAAGGCATAATATATTATTTAACAATTGTTTATATATTTTATAATATTCTCTTCTTATTTTGTAGACCCAGCTGCTCTTCACTTGTGGTGTTATCTGCATTTTCATGTACCATGGGCCGACCAAACTATTTGTGCGCACCAATCCAATTGTGGTGATCGTGGCTATGGTCGTGAATCTAGTCGTTCTCATCTCGATGGCTTGCTGTGAGACGACTCGACGACATTTTCCTGTAAACTTTATATGCCTGGGCCTGTTCACGGTGACCATGTCCCTGATGCTTGGTGGCGTAGCTAGTTTTATGGACGCGAATCTTGTGCTCATAGCTGTGGGCATAACGGCATTGCTAGTGGCTGCCCTGTCCATATTTGCCATTCAAACTAAATACGATTTCACAGCCATGGGCGGCGTTCTCATTGCAATTGTTATAAGCCTCCTGATTCTGGCCTTTGCCGGCGCATTTCTACGTCAAACTTTCGGAGAGACGGCGTTTGCCTGCCTCGGCGCACTCTTCGGCAGCTTTATGCTAATCTATGACACTCAACTGATTATTGGGGGCACCCATAAGTATCAATTTAATCCAGAGGACTATATATTTGCTGCATTAACTTTATATATCGATGTGGTGCGCATATTTTTATATATCCTGCGTTTCATGGCTAGGGAGTAAGTCTCTATTGTATTCGGTTATTAGACTAAATTCAACTACTATGATCGATATTATGCAACTGAATGTATATCTATGTGAATTTATTATTAATTGTATACTAACTAATGGTTTAATGCCATAATTTAAGGGCCATCAAATGGCATTAAATTACCAACCAAAATGTTTAATTAAACTCAAATGTGTATATATACTTTATATGTCTGTACTGTGCACAAACGAATTTTTGCATTAAATTAAAATTTGTTTTTGTATTATGTGTATATTTTATTCACAATAAATTCAATAAAATAACTCGTCAACTATATGAGCTAAGCCCATTAGACTTGGATGATTTACGCTCCATTGGGAATAAGAAAAAAGATAATGGCTGCGCTTCTGGAAGGATTCAAAGAGCAGCTGACCAGGTTTCGGTCAGCTCCCAGTTAGGCGTGTCCCACAAGACAAGACTGTTTTGGTTTTTCTTGTACTTTTGTCCTTTATTTTAAGCTAAGGTTTTCATTTATTATTTTTATTTTTTTGGCTCATTTTTCTATATTTATAGTACATTTAGTAGATGTAATTATATTTAGTTATTTTTATTGATTATGTATGCATATGGGTGTAACTATCAAATACAATCACAAAGTGTATGTATAATTCATATTTCATTTTGTTTTTATAATAGGTATTTACATAAATAATATAAAAATAATATTTTTTTAGCAGATAGCAATAGGGTTTGATATTATATATGTATATAGATATACATAGGTATGTATGTATAATCAAGTACAAACAGAAAAAGTAAGTAACTGAGGCATAAGCTGCTGCTGCTCTGGTCATATGAATCCTATAGATTATATTTATATATCTATATATATGATCAAAGCTATACTATGAACATTCTCTCCCTCGTATAGCTCCTTGTATAGTTCTCTAAGTAATAAACTCTATAAGCAGTATAGTGTAAGTAGTTAGAATTTGATTTCCTCTTTTCTATCCAGCCGTCTCCTGAGTCTGTGTTTATATACAAATCAATACATATATATCTATATAGTATATATATATATCAAATGCTCAGTCCTCCGTAAATGGATGATCGGATGTATCGCTGTTATTACGTCGTCGACTCTCCAATATCTTGATCGCCTGCTCCAGTGTCTCCTTATAGAACAGATTCTCTTTGGTGCCATCGCTGGACAGCGAATATTTCGTGTCGTCCAGATGCCAAGTCAGACCGAGCACTATGTTGAAAGCGGATGCATCATAGCCATGGCAGCCCGAGTAGCGATAGAGTGGCTTTTTGTTGAATTTGCAGCCATTCGATTGGGCACCTAAACGAAGATACGAACATACAAGATAAGAGATACAAATTAGATAAGCAATTATCAAATCAAAATAGGTACAATTATCCACTAATTTGGATACCCATGGCGAATTTATAAGCAGGTTATATTGCATATTATACAGATATACTGCAGCTCTTTCCATCTAGTGCTGTTTAAAGAATAACTCAATGACTTTAAGAGCTGCAGATCTAATATTTAGTATATCTATAACCAATATAGACAGATTAGATCCTAAGATCTATAGGTACAACATTTGTTTTAATACTTAAAATCCATAGAAACATGACAAGTATTTTCTTTTTAGAATACCACGTCTTATATAGCCTGTTAATAGAAGGGATGTTGGCATTGGGTATGACTATATATTAAATTATACAACATATTCATTTGTTATGCAGGGTAGCTGCTAGTTGTGCATACTAGCTTAGCTCTTCCTCTTTATAAAAATAACAAATAATTGTAGCTAGGTTAAGCCCTTTTAATTGTGCATAATTCAGTTAGAAATTGATCAAAACATAGCGAACAATGGATACGAAATCAGGTAGTAAATTCATAAATGTGTGTTCATATTTATCGAATAAATCTTTCCTAGATGTGAGCATACAGTGTGAACTGCTATATGATGAACGAAAGGGCCGTAGCTATCAATTCGATATAGCTGATCCAAAACTCAGACGTCACCTGGTGCGACGTGTCTACTTCCTGTTAATGGTATTATCATAGATATTTCGTAATCCACATCATTTATATATCCATATCTTTTAGCTAGAAATCGCGTGTGGCATTCCCTGCATGGAGATAATCTTAATGCTTCCCATAAGCTGCAATGAGCTTTATGCGCGCCTCTCTAGTTTCATAGTTTCCTTAATAATTTATACCTTGCTCTATAAATTTCGGAATAGGCGTCGAGCTGCTCCATATAAATATATCACATACCTGGTAACAGCTATATTAAGCTTTTCAAGCAGAGCTATTTATCTGTTGAGTATTACGAAAACTCGTTGGGTAAGCATAGATTCCATATATCATTTTATAACTATGATTACCTATATCTATATCTATATTTATCTACTTATAGGTCCATTTACATCCTGTAATCCTTATGATCCAGCTCTTGGTACTAGCTTTATTTACCAAACAGCAAAGAGTTCGCTTCACCCAAGGCATAGGCGTCATCATAATCCATCTGATTTTTGGACTCTGCTTATTATTGGCCTACTTTCTAAACTTCTTCTTCGTATTTGTAAACGCTTACTTTTGCACTTTGGTCGGCTGGTATATCATCTATGACACGTCTCTGATGCTCTCTGAACGTCATGCCTACAACATGGCGCCGCAGGAATATTTCTTTGCTGCTACGAATTTACGTGCCGATTTGCCAGTTTTCTTGTGGATGATCGTACGACATTTTGTTCTGGGTCCCTTTATTTTACTGGCTAAGATTATCAGAAATTGTCGGTTCAAAGAAGTATGCTAAGAATTTGTAGGCGTAAATGTAAGTTCCGAATATAAAATACAAATTACAAATTCCTCTTTACAGCTAAACTGTTGTACAGGGTATCTCCCTTCAGGCAACCCGAAGTGTAGAATTCAAATTGTGTTCTCGATTCGAGAGTTCGTTAAATGTGAACAGCTTCTGACTTACACAATTAAAGCTGCCCTAATTGCTTTATTCCATTAACTGCAAACTCGATTCAGATCAGGGACTGCATAGACCCCAATTATGTCAGTCCATGTGTGTGTGCATACGCACACACATATACATATGACACGTTTTGCTATCATCAACTAAATGCGCTGTAAATGATGGTCATTAGGTGAGATTGTGGGTTATGAATGCGACATTGATTGACAACTACAATATGCGGACAGCAGCAGGAAGCGAGCGAAGGAGAAGTCCTGCCTAATGACAGCACAGTTGAATGAAGGGAATGCCAATGAACGACTGCGCAATACTCGTTCGCTAGACAACTTGCAATTGAATTTATACAAAATCTAAATTGAGAATCTAAAATGAAAGCGGTTCACCTTAAAATAATTCATTTCTTGCTTGAAGCTAAGATATAGATATAGCTGGGATCTAGATATTGACTGGAAATAAAATAAGATTTAGACTGGGTATTCACACTTACCAATTGGATCGATGCACTCCATGGTCAAAGCACATTTCAGCCAGGGCAACATAATCTTCTCCGTCACGAACAGAGTGTCCGCAAAGAAGACCACGTCGAGGTCCACCATGCGAAGGAATATGAAATTCTCAGCGTCCGACTCGAAGTAGTCGAACATCTTTGGATGAGTGCGCGAGGAGACGGCCGTTGGGGTATTCCAACCTAGGACGCCGGCCACCAGGGCGCGATTCTGCAGCTGCTGCAAGTCGCGATAGCTGCCACGGATCCGCATACAGTTCTCGAGAAACAAGATCGATTTGGATCGCATCAGAGCATCCTTTATCACAATTGGACGATATGCATGGGTTCGCTGATCGCTGACGAACGACGGAAACTCCGAGAGGTCATAGGTGATGACGGTGCAGCGGCTGCTGTTGCAGCAGGCGTTCAGGGAGCGCAGCTGCTCCTCGGACACGCCCAGGTCGTAGATGAGCAGCGACTCGTTCGGCAGCTTGGCCGCGATATTCTGCGCCAGCAGTATCACCGACGACACCTGCCCCTCCTGCACGTAGCTGACTATGGTGAAGTTCGACTTGGTATTGTTGTACGGCGTCGTGATCCGCTTGCGCTGGCTCTTTTGCTCCACCTGCTGCAGCAGCAGCAGCTCCTGCTCAGCCGCCTGCCCGCGGCCCGCCATCAGCTGCTGCTGCTGGAGCTCGCGCTTCGACGTGACAGGTACATCAGTTTGCACCTGCTTCTGCTTGCCGCTCTCTGCCGGCTGCTGTGATGCGTCATCTTTTGTGCTCAGCGGCGACGTGAAGCCCAAGAGCAGCAAATACTTTGGATCGAGCTCGAGCTTTTTGCGTTCCAGCCCAACGCGCAGATTCTCCTGGAAAAGCCATAAAACAAAAATACAAATCAGGATCAGACTCTTAATTATTATAAGCGAGGGCAGTCTATGAGATTGCATTATGATCATTATTTTCAATAAAACTATATTCTTACATATATATAGATAGAAAAGTAGAACTAACGAGAGAAGACGAAAGTAAATGCAAGAAGAAGGGAGGAAGCAAAACCAGACGGAGGAGGATACAGTAAAAGACCGTAAAATAAGTGGCAGGACAGCAAAGGGGCGAGAATTATTCCTCACTCTTTTCGACAATGCAATCATAAAATATGGGAGCTGAGCTAAGAATATCCTTATCTATCTCTTCATAGATGTAGATACAGTAAAACTCCTCTACTCTTATACTGCTGTGCTCATACTATTCTACTCTTATATTCTCTTGCATTTACATACTCGTTCTCATAAATTCTGCAACTCCGATAATCTCAAACTCTGATTGAAAATGGAAATACTTGTGTGTATAGGAATAAATCCTTATCAGCATTTAATAGTTTTGGTTTGTTTAAATAAATTATTATTATAGTGAAGCCCGCATTTGAATGCAGCGAAAACTATATCGAGATACGAAAATTTTATTTTGCATTTTGTTTCACAAGTTTCAATCAGCTCGAAATTGGCTTGAGGCATGCTTCGAGCTAACTAAGCCTTGACACACACACACACAAGCAACGCAGCAGAAGGTGAAACAAAATCGACATGGCGACAGTGGGAGGCAGGGGTTCAGAGGTCAGATGGCGGATGTCAAGCTGTCATGCGACCATCCTAGAACGTGGGCTTTCATTTCCAGGCTAATTTCGCTTGTGGGCTGAGCCGCAAAATAGAAAAGAGAAAGAAATAAACAAAAAGAACCTAGGCCAAAACTCTTTACGGGCATATGACACGCCCCTCAATAGATACTTTGCTTTGCGGAAAAACAAGTAGGAGACGGGTATAAAGGACTAGAAGATATCCTGAATTATCCTCACTGATTAAGGGATAAAATGGGCTGAATTATACTATATACCAAGTCTAGCATCGAAATTTTATATTGATTTAATTCATCCAAAGGATCTAGATCTAGATCTAGATCGACTTGCCTCCAGAACCCAGACTTGCCACATCTCCCGTTCATCCACCTGCAATATACCACATTCCCAGGGTATAACAAGGAAAAACCCACGACAGCAGTTGCTGATGTCGCCCATAGGGACTAATTTAGGCGGGCAGCACAAAGACTGTGAATCGAATTTGGTGTTATTATATTGGGACTCCTTCTATTTGCCAATGGGAGCGACCCCAAAACCAAAGAGATTTCTCGCATATGCCGCTGGGAAATATAGCTCAGCCCAATGACAGCACAGAATTTCAATTCCTTAGGCTGCTCACTTGTGCAAAAGATCTTAGCTCTGAGATTAAAGACAACGATGAAATCTACAGAAATCCATATCAAACTTCGAAATCTCGATATCTTTAAGAAGTTATTAATATGAGAGTCTCTCATATATACTTTTGTAATAATAATAGAAGTAGCTTATGCATCAAGTTTCATGAGTTTACAAATTTACGTTTTTACCCCATGGAAAAATAATACTACTATACAAAACACTAAACCGAAAACAACAAAAATAAAAATATGAAAAAAATAAACTAAATATATATACACAAAACACATACACATACAAAATAAAACAATAAAAAAAAATTCACATTACACACGATTTAAAAAAAATATATATAATATAATATATATAATTAAAAAAAAAAAAAAAAAAAAAAAAAAAAAAACTATAATAAGAAACAATGCAATAAAACATTTTTTTTTAAATAAATTAAAATTAAAAAAAAATATGAATAATAAAAAACAAATATAAAAAATATACACTGACTTTACACACAACAAATATTTAAACTAAATCAAATACTCTTAAAAAAAAATAAAATAAAATATAAACATAAATATATTTTTTATAATAATTAATTTATTTCTATAATAATATTAATTATTAAAATAAATATATATAAAAAATATTATATAATAAAACCATAAAACAATTAAACTGAACATGTTAATATAAAACATTAATTAATTCATTATAACAAATCTTTATTAAAGAATTTAAATATCAATAACTACTTATAATAAATCCAAGAAAAGAACCACCTGGCTAAACTCAAGGAAAATGGAGGACTTAACAGAAAAAGAATTGGCTATATTCCAAGAGCTCTTCAATCGCATCGACGTTGAGGGAGATGGAGAATTCTCGTTTAGGGAGCTGGGCATCGTGATGCGAGCTTTGGGTGGCAACGTCAGCGATGGGGAGCTACAGGATATGATCAATGAGTCCGATACGAATGGCACTGGATCGCTGGACATTGAGGAGTTTGTCAATACACTTTTGCGCAAATTATCGGACACTGATCGGCCCGACGATCTCAAGATGGCCTTCTCGCTGATCGACAAGGATAGAAATGGATGCATTTCCACAAATGATTTGCGTAAGCTCTTTGGATCGATTGGCATTCAGCCGAGCGACGAAGAGCTCGAAGAAATCATACGATCGGGAGACCTCGACCAAGACGGTGTCTTGATATTCGAAGAGTTCGTCGGTATATTAACCAGCGAAAGATGATATGGACATAAGAATTCGTTCTGGGGTCGCTGACTCAACAGAAATTATACGACTGGGGGACGCCGACCAAGACGTTGTCTTGATATTCGATGTTAACCAGCGAAAGGTGATTGGATGTATATAAGTAGACTACCTACCATATGGACATAAGAATTCTTCCTGGGGTCGCTTACTCAATATTTGTATTATCCGTGGCTTATCGCATTGATGCCAAACATAGTTTGAATATTGAGAAATCGATCCTAGAGATAAGTCTTAATAATAAATGCAATGTACAGAGTAATAAAATGATATTTTGGAATCTTTCTTATCGTATCTCTTCGGAAATGATCTGATTCTTATTATATGGTATATATACAAAGGGGCTGGTTTGTTTGTTTCATATTCATGTAATTAATCTAGTATGCTTTCTGTAAACAAATTTAAATCAATTCGTTCAACAGCCACAACTCAATTTTAAACAGAAACAAAATCTCACATACATATATACATTACATACTAGTTACAAAAATACTTGGAAATAAAATCAGAAAATGGAGGCCCCAGCTTTTGCATTAAACGAAGATCAAATGAATGAGGTGCGCGACGCATTTGGAGTGTTCGATCCGAATAATACTGGGAAAATCAAGGGAAAGGAAATGGGTCTCGCGATGCGTACGTTGGGCTATTGCCCAACCGAAGCGGAGCTCTACGATCTGATCGATGAGATCGACATGGATGGCGATGGCGAAATAGAGTTTATGGAATTCGTAATGATGATCACCAAGCGCATGGAGGGCTTGACCAAAATCGAGAATCTAAGGGTTATATTCAAACTGTTCGATCGCGACGACGATGGCTTCATAGCGGCCAACGAAATGCGAAATGTTATGCACAATCTGGGCGAACGCTGCTCCGAAGAGGAGTTCAATGAAATGATGAAGGAAGTCGATGCTGATAACGATGGAAAACTCAGTTTCCAAGACTTTGTGAATGCCGTCAGGAATTGAGTTAGATAACGAAAGAGCGTGAGAGCGAGAGAGTAGCAAAATGGGGTCTATAGAAAAAATACGAATTTACAACTTGAGCTGCTCGAAGTCTTTGAACGAGAAATTGAATGGAAAATAAAATGGGTAGAGTCTTAAAGAATATGTCAAATATGTTATATAAAGGTATAATAGAGTGAAAATTCAATGAGTTGAAGAGCGGAGAAGATAACAACTGAAGAACAACTCGTCAATCATTGAGTGCAGCAATCAAAATATCAAATCAAGATTTTTGCAACTGGCAATAGAAATTAGGAATACTAATTTGATCGCTTTTTTTGCAATTAGTGGAACTTACGTACTGAGAAAAACAAAGAAATATATAGTGAAAGACCTGAAAGCTGTTTTAATTGGCCACTTAACAATTCTAAAGCAATTCATTTATGTAAGTTAGAAGCAAACGCAGGCCCTGGGGCAGGCTTTGACCAGTCCTGACATGGGCCAGGCAACACGCAGCGCCATGTAGTCCCTGTAATACACTTTCAGAGAGTAGTACAGCTAAGCATATTAAGTGGATTCTCCATATGTATAGCAGAGTATATTCCTAAACAAAATCGTATTATATCATGTAATGTTGCTATTTCTGCTATTGTTTATCAAGATTTTCTTTCAAAATATCAGATGAAGAATGGTCGAAGCTCTTAAATGGGGAAGTAGATCTTATATTATATACACATTTATTATATGAGAAAGGGCATTTATTGCTCGTCGTTTGAAGCGGAAGTGTCCTTAGCACGTGAGCCACAATTTTAATATGAAATTCCATTTATGGGGGTCGCGCGTGACTCGAAATGGCTGCCGCATGTGCCTAATGGCGCCTAGGGTTACCGAGTGCTACGATGGAGCAGCAGGAGACGAAAGAGTTGAGGATGACGCTCAGGGAACAGTAGAAACTAGGCGCCATTGCACATTCAGCGATTTTAACTGCATTTGAACATACCTCTCTTTGAGTACCTTTTTACACCTATATTACCTGTCATCTACTATAATCACTTTTTCATTTCTTATCACACATCTTTTATATTTATCTTTCAGATCTCATCTCTCTTCTCTCATTTGAATTCATTCATCTCTACGTTATCTCTCATGTATCATCTGTCTTTATTCGTCCTCTCATCTCCCCGAAGACCTTTTCATCTCGCTTTCATCAGCTCAAGAAGCAATTATACAGGGTATTTCTTAGTCGGCTGTAGACGATTCTCTAGCTCGAAAATCTTGGGCATATATATTAGTGTGTCTAGTTGTCCATAAGTTGAAGCTAGCTAGCAATGGGTTCCTTCTCTAGGTCATTGAAAGCTCATTTGTGCGATATTACATTCAATTATTCAAGCATATCGAGCGAGCTCTATAGATACACATACATACATACATACAGACATGTATGTATGCCGAGACAAAGCATTTCACAGCGAGCCCTGCAATTAATTGATGTCGGTCGGAGTTCAGGGTTCACGGGTCAGACGTTAGATATGAGACATTAGACGACTTTAAGTGGACAAGTGGACTTGGCTACCAATTAAATTAGATTACGGCTAATGCAAATTTCCATAGAATTTACAATTAACAAATGATTAAGATTAAAGATGAGACCAAAAAGAATTTTACATATATATTTTGATGATATTTGATATTTGTGCAGCTAAAGATCGTAGCGAAAAACATTGACGAGAGTCAAAGCAAAAGCAATATTGTCGATATACATATATTTTAAACAAAATAAAAAATAAAATATTGTATAAGATTTACCACTTCCCAACTTCCACAACTAAAAACGAAAAGCTAAAATTAAAAATTAAATTATGAATAGAATATTTCGTTGAAGAGTCTAAATTTCAACCCTTGTGGTTGAGTGTTACGCGATATACTATAAATACAATACATACACAAACACATACGTGTATATAACACTTGTTTTTAACTACTTTTCCCCTATTTATACATATAGATTTGGAAAACATTTGTGCTTTTTCCCACTGGGAATGTGCTTAATAATTGGTTTACCTGCTTACGGCTATACAGGTATGCCATTGTACAGCAATAGAGGTGTGTAATTACTAAGAATTTCAAACAGATTTTAAACCGGGCTTACATACCCACAATGACATGCATAGCAAACCTCAATCTTAAATATTTATATATACATATATATTATTCAAATTAGCATGCCCTTTATATAGTAGAGTATTCAGTTTGTACTATGAATAGTTTCCCCAAAGTGGGCAACTGCGAGTTTTTACACCTTGACGTCAGGTCGAGCCTTGATGATAATCATTACAATTTACCACATTCATAATCATGATCATCATCATCATCGCTATCATTCTCATCGTGATGCGTGAGTAGAGTGCAAGCGAGATACTTGGGGGACATATCATATATCATTTAAAGCACCTTCATTGGGTGGCACATTTTGTCAACAAGTTGAAGAAGGCGAAAGCGGCTTAAAGCCCATTTCAATTGACGATCCGCAATTGGGAAAACGCGTGTATTCCATATATATATAAGAGCTGTGTGCATCAAAGCAAATGCCGTTATTGATGCCCATTGAATGCAGGAGAAGAGGGTATAACGAAGTGCCAGAAAGAATAGAGAAAGAGAGATACGAATATAGAAGTACTCAGATCAATAGTCGAGACAATATGACCTCGTTGTTTAATATAAGAGTTACTGAAAGTAAAAGTATACAGATCAAAAGCTGCATTGATATATAACGAAAACTATGTATAAGAGCAGATTATTATGCAAATATTCAAAGGCATGATGATAAGAGTATAAGAACTTAGTTCTTACTGCAACTCTGACCGAGTATAAGATTATTATAATCAACTGCCTAATAGGAATTATGGAAGCAGCAGACGAGTTGATCTAGTCTTTTCCAGCTAAATGTGGTAAATGGATAAACGACTTGAAATGCATTAGTCAACAGCCAAGTCAGGCTAGCTCAGTCGGTATTGGTAAATAGAACAATGTTGTCTTACTCATTGTCTGTTTGTCCGTATAAAAGTATAGAAATTTATTACAATTGATCAAGACACATCAAAGCTATTCAAATTGTTTCATTTAAGGGCTTCTTTTAGTTTTAGTACCACATACATATATGTACATATGTATATAGCATACAACTGTAACTGTAGCACGACCTATCGCAAGCTAATGTGCCTTGGCAAAAACCAGTTATTAATAGCTACCAAGATACGTTGCCAAATAGAGACAAATCAAATACAATGAGCTCTCTGTGCTGAGACGGTGGGAACTAGTTTAGTTTAGCGCAACAGCAAAAACCTCAATCACATGTATAACAATTATATATATACACACAAGTAAATCTAATATGTCTATGTATACATATGCACGATTGAATACATGTAGACTCTGTATATTTTCTCTCTGTTCAATAAATTAAATAAACAAACAAGAAACGAAAGCTCTGCTGAAAATGAAAACTTTAAACAAGAGCAAGCGCAAAATACTTTACTGCAAAATGCTGAAACTGTAATACCATTTAATAAACATATTCATATATATGTATGTATTCCCCATCTTCTGTTTTTCCTCTAATGTCTACTTCCTATGCTCTTATATTTTTGTCTCTTAATATTTTCTATTCCTATCTACCTATGACCTTTCTATGCAATTCTCACATAGTTCATCTCATTTTCTCTGATTCACTCTACCTATTATACTCGACCTTTGTTTTTTATTTCATTTACTAATGCTTATGCACACATATAAGATAGCTATGCATACGTCCTCTACTAATAGATAACGTTAAATTATCGTAAGTACACATTTATACATATTCATATTTACGTAGGTAAAGGGAATTGTATGTTGAGCAAATAAGCACTTGTTATCTCATAAGTATGAAGTAGATATGGATATGGATACCTTTTTTGTTCCCTCAAATTCTACTTAAATAGAAAACTCGAAAGTGTTAAATTCTTAGTCACGATTGAGAGAACCTGATTTATTTACGACGGTGATTTGATTTGATTCGATTCTCGACTTAATCAGCCGCGATAAGATTGATCTAGACATATTCCATTGACAGATATCAGATGGAGCACTCAACAAATCGTTGATAAATACTTAGACAATGCTCAACCCGCTTCGAGTTGCGTGTCGTTTGATGTAATTCAAAACTCACTTATTAAAAGTTAAACATGTTATTCAATACCCAAGAGGGGAATGTGTTTTGGGCGCGTGTTTATGGACAGAAGGGGGCGGGGAGGGGAGGCGACTAAGCATGGTTAAGGCCGGAAAGTAGCTGCCGCAATCTAATTAAAGTAAACAATAAACGTTCTGGCCACACACACACACACGCACACACATTAAATTACGGCAAACAAAAAATCGAGTCCAGGCAGTGGGGAACAATACGCTTACGCTATAAAGAAACACTGGTAGGCAAAAGTATGTACACAGCAGTAGTAAAACAGAAGAATATAAAATATTATAGGCGAATTATAAATATTTGAAGTGCCTACCTATGTACATAGATTGAAACATAGCTATTCATACACTAATTGCCAAAAGTACATGGACAGTATATTCCCATTTGCTTATCTGCAATAAATCCTAGTACTACTTAATGATTATAATCAACAATCTATAAATTAAGACTAAATATTTAACTATGGTATACGAAAGCATGCTCACCAAATTTAACGCTGGACTTTTAATATTAAACAACTTATTCAAATAGGCACAATTATTAATAGATTTGTCAAAATAATTATGCCTACCAGAGTACGTTTATTTCCACCTGTGTGTGAATAGCTTCATGTACATACGTATACTTGTAGCTATTACTGTTACTATAGACACATACTTATGCTTACTATTGTTTATTTTCACAGATATAAAGTAATAATCTTTTATATGTGTATGTAAATTTGCACGTATAATTACTCCTAGTACTGTATCATTCACATTCGTACATTCTTGTACATATTCTAGGCCTATGTACATGGTATTCTAATTACTAGTGTACATTTTTCACATGAGTATGCAAACTGGTGCTCTCTAGTGTATATTTACACACACACACACACACACACACACATATGCATACATATGTTGTTTATTTGCAGGCAGAAAGAAAGTTTTCATATGGAATTTGCATGTTAAATGCCTTCGTAGCTATTAAATTTCGTACGGAACTTGAGGAATTCCGTAGGCGCACCGGCGTAAATGATGATAGACGGACGGACGGACAGCTGTTGGCAGGCATGCCAAACGACAAATGATGATATCTTTTGGGTCATTTACATGTTTGCCTTGCCTGAATGCCGGATTGCCTGTTAGCCGGACAGTTGAATAGCCGGACAGCTAAGTAGTCAGAGTGCCCGGTTATTCGTCTTTCCTGTTCGCTATCTCTCTCTTTCTCTTTGACCGGAGACTTGTTTCAATTTGGCTAAAAGCTTCCTTTTAAATGGCACTAGAGCCAATTTCGCGAGGAAAACTCTTTAAATACCCTGTAAAACGGGTTTTACGGCTAAGGAAAATTGTTACCAATGACTCATAGAGTATTGACTATCAAATACCCAGTAAACAATATATAGAACAGACCTGAGGGCCTTTCGTATTACGGTTTATAATAGAGAGTTTATATCTAAGGTTGTCATATACACATATTTGTTTTTTTATGCTGTACAAACATTATACACCCAAGATCCACTCCTTTCACAGGATACAACTAAGCACATTTGCTCATTTGCAGAGCATTTCTGGGCCTGGAAAGCGAAGCACAGTTCAAGGATTATGTAAATAAATTTCGATGCCAATTGGCAGGCATTTCGTATGATCCCTTGCCAAGAAAAATCATAGCGAGGCTGTCAACTTGACACTGGACGACGACTGTTGACATCACTGATAAGTTTCGAATGAGTCAAAGCAGAGGAATAGCTCAAGAGAATAAAAAAAAAAAACAGACTTCGTTTGCAATAAGACATATCAAATTTTATATGCACATATATAATATATGATATATGCATATATCTGATATACATATATATTTTTAGGGCGCATTATATATAGCTTAAGAGCCGCTGATAAGTCAAGTGTTTTACTCAATGAAGTCGACAGACAGCGACGATGAAGAAAGCCGACTATCATTGTTGTTTTCACTGATAAGCACACAATGTTATCACAGCAACAGCAACAACTACAACAACGACACACAAACAAGGGCCAAGAACAACTGTTGCCTCTCTCCTACTGTCTGGGTACGTGCAAACAAAATTTGGTTGCATTGGAGCTTATGATTAAGGGAGATAAAGCAATGTGGAGGTCACCTGGCAAATGGATAAAGAGGGGGACGCGATAGGTTTGTTGCAAATCCGATATATGTACGAATTAAAAGATTTTCATTTTAATTCAAGTTTTCTCTTTCTAGCTTTCGAGATGCGCATACCAATGAGAGTCGTCCAACCCATAAATATCTATTTTCACTCACTCATTTTTCCATCTACAAGTTTTCGTATTTAAACATGCAATAGCTGATCCGTAATTTTTATCACGTAAATAAATTTCATTTCAACTGTTACCTCCCTCGTTTATATTAAACCTTGAAAAATCAAATGTATAGAAGTTTATCCAGTTTTCAAAATTTTCCTTCATTTTCACTAAATATGAACAAGTGTAAAAGCCACCCTCGGGTTTTGCTGATATCTTCGTCAGTGGCAAGAAATATTTACAATTTTTTTAAATTTATATTTCTCGGGATTTCCTTCTTTAGATTAAGTTTAAGGAAATATTTTAAATTATCTTCATTTAATAAATATGTATATACATAATGTAAAAATATAAAGACTTATATTTAGATATGCCATAAATTAAATTTGTATTTGTCTATCTCATATCAAGATCTATTTTTACTTTTTTCATATGATCGAAAAAAGTTTTTTTTTCGTATTATTTTTTTTTTGCAAATTATTTCATGAAATTTTATTAGCAACTGCCCATAATACCTAGAGCTGTACGAACATTACTCACCTGAAACTCTTTAAGTTGTTGATGGGTCTGCACCACAATGTGCTTGAATGAGTCGTTCGGTTCGCCAGCCGGTCCAAAGACAATGAATACGAGCGTTGCGATTATCACACCGATTAATATCAATATCAAATGTTTAGTTCGCATGGCCGCTAGAGTCGATTTCGATTTGAATTTCGAATTCGAGTTCAGCTTCGAATTCGTCTTATAGGCAATTTTGCGTGCAAAAATGCGCTTCAGGGTGAGTGAGGCCTCCAGTCTGATGGCCGTTCTCGAGCTCCTCGTCCCGGGTTTATCAACAGAAATAGTTCAAGTGCGGTTGGATTAAAACCATTTTAATAGTCCACTAAAATTCCATTCGAGTTTTAATATCTTTTTGTTGCTATTCATTTAATTTATGATGATGTATCGTCTGCCTTCGCGTCACATGTTGCCGGGCGTCCGACCAAAGCAAGATAAATCCAATAAATACTTCTAACTCGCTAGCATATTATGATAAAAGCCAAGTATTATTGCACTGTAATACTGTTATACAGTAATATTACACACGAAAACAACAACGACAACAACAAAATATTGGTGTAATGTCATATCCTACTTCTGTTATACTCAAAGCGGAATGTGTCATACTTTTATATTCGAAGGACCGTATATTTGTATATATGGTGATAAAGGAAAATAATAATAAAATTGTCATACTAATTTAATACTGCTTTATTCTTTGACTGATTTACTGATATACTACAATGCAACGGCATTGTTATACTGTAATACTGATATACTGATACACTTTTGCTGATATACTATATGCAAACAAAATATTGCTGCAATGCTATAGTCTTATATTCTGAAAAACTATTATGACAAATAAATATACTATACTGTTATACTATGCATGCTAACATCGAATTATGATGCTTTGGTCAAATGAATGCGCTTTTCCCCTATTTATTTATAGTTTTTGTATTTTGACAAATATATTTACTAAACTATTAAAAAAGACAACATTTAATGTCTTTGAATGCGAATAAATTTTTTTTAATTTTTAGTATACTTTTTTTACTATTTAGTCGCACACTAGATTTCAATTGCTCTTTTTATTGATGTAAATCGAATTTTCAGATAGTTCAATCAATAGATTGTTAAAATGTTTATGATTTTCTATATTTTCGCTGTCTTGCGCATCAGTGTGTGTGTGTGAGTTTGCACACACACACACAGGCATGCATGCATAGAGGCAAACGGTTATGCATATGTGAGATTGTGTGAGTGTGTGTGTGTCTCTTCACCTTTGTGGGTTGATTTTATGGCGCACAGCCAAAGCAGCCGCAAGGCAATTTAATGAATAGAGAAGCTAGCAATTCCTATTCCTGTTTTATGCAAGTGATTGCGCTAGACTGTTTAGCATACGATTTAAGTGGCGCTTCATAAAAGGCGCCGACTGCTTTATTTCTATCTCTTTTTCAATTTAAAGCCTTGCCGCTTGTCTGTGGCGTTGTTGTTGTTGCTGTCGGTTTTCGTTTGTTGGTTGGTGCCGGCGCAGCCTCCATTTATCGTAAAAACTCACAAGTTCACTTCTTTGTGCTTGCAAAACAATACAAACAGTTGTCACGAAATTTTACATAATTTCTGCAATTTGTTCTTTTAACTTTCACTTTCGCGGAGCGCCCAATAAGCAAAACCGTAATGCATGCAAATGCTTCACCGACAGCCGCGACAACCACTTTTCGAGTATAAACAAATGAAACTACTCTATAGTTGGTGATGTGAGGAGACCGATAGTTTCGGCAGCTTTAGCTAATGAAAAATCGTCAGCTTGATTCGATTACTATTTAATTGGTGATTAAACAAACAAATTAACTTTAACTACTTATATATGCTTATTATTGGTATTTGTATGGCATATAAACCAAAAATATAAAAATTTTACTCAAATACACATGTCGAATTGTTATCGAATAATGTTAAAATCAGCTGACCGCACTTTGCCGATGTGAATATATATTTAAAAATAATTGCTAGAGGCTGTTAAATTCGAATTCAAATTTGTATCAATTGCTGAAACAAAAAATTGTTATCAATATAATTGCTTTGTTTTATTTCCGTAGACAAAGAAAATGCTTATGAATCTTGCGGTTAAATAAAAAGTTTTTTGCTAAAAGAGTCAAAACCAAAGAAACATCAGACTGACTTAGAGATGAGTAACGAACTCAATATATCGATAATTAATCCATTGACAAATTTAATTCGAACATCTCAGGAATAAAAATAAAATCATTTTTAAATTATTTTATATTGCTGACTCATAATAAGCATAGGCAACATATCGTATCTTAGTAGTTTCATTTAGTTAATTTACTATTTGAGTGGACATCAGTACCAAATGAGCAATCTAGTAGCCGATATTCTAGCTGCCAATTTGACAACCAATTACACAACCGAGTAAATATCGCATATCATAATGTTGAATAACATTGTTGAAAAATGTTAGTTGTGTTTTTTTAAGGTGCCCACAATTGGCATTTGAGTAACAACCTCAGAAGAGGAGCAAACAAACTTTATTCTCTGCAATGGCGGGACGCGAACTAACAGTAACACCGACAAAACGTGAGCGACGCAAGTCCCCAGCCATGGCCAGTTGCAGCAGCGGCTGCAGTACCTCACAACAACCGCCACCGCCGCCGCCTCCAATGTCACCATCCTCATCTGTGGCAGACACAACATTCGAGCCAACAGTCGATATGATGGTGAATGATTTCGATGATGAAGCCACCTTAAACGAGGAGGAAGCGCTTGCAGATTTGGAGGCGCACAATGTGGAGGACGAGATAGCGACGTTGCGTGCAGAGAGCGAAATGCCCATCGAACTGTTGCTGGCCAAATATGGCAACATGGATGGAACTGCCCTAGGGCGACCCTGCAGCAGCAGCAGCAGCGGCGGCGGCAGTGGCTCCACCTCAAGCAGAGGGCGACGACGTGCGCCCAAAAGGCCGCTGGAGGATGCCGAGCAGGAGCAAGAGCAGCCGGCAGAGCCAAACCAGGCAGAGCCGGCAAGTCCCATGCAATGCCATGAGGGCGCTTTGGACCTGGAAGACCTGCCTCCAGAACTAGCGAAAAGGTCTCATCGTTCGCATTTGCTCGATCTATATCCAGAGCAACAAGCCTTGGACGAGTTGGAAAGTTGTACGTGAAGAGAAGCAGTGCAGGGCAAGGCTTTTATAGCATCTGTACTAATATTCTCCAAATTATTTTTAGTTACTCCGTTGGAAACGTTGCTGGAGCAAGCCGAGGACGAGGATCAGGAGGACGATAGCGACACGGATTCGGATGATACTAAAAAGATGATAATGATTGGTCCCGATTACCAAGCTGATATACCTGAGGGACTCGCACTATATGTCGCCGATGTATTGCCTTATGAGAATGAGGATCAATTAATTTGGGCGCCCAGCCAGGTGAGCGAGCGGGACGTCGAGGAATATCTAGCTAAGATACAGGAGACGCGTGCCGGCGAGGAGGACGTGGTAGCCGAAGGGACAGAACGAAACGATCTGGAAGAGATAGCACCGCTAGCTCTTAATCCTACAGTGGATGCTGCCGTAGCTGCAGACCCTGTGCCTTCTCCAGCTCCTATCGCTCAGGCTATCTCCGATGGAGAAACCGTGGTCAAGGACAACGAGCAAGCTCTGCATCTCCTCGTGCAATGTGGCTATGATTTCAAGGAGGCCCTGCGTCGGAAACGCATGAATGTTCTGCCTCTCAGCGACACGATGAGCAGCTGGTCGGAGGAGGAGTGCCAGAAGTTCGAGGAGGGCATCCAAAAGTTTGGCAAGGATTTCTATCAGATAAGGCAAAACCAGGTAAAGCTCGAGGACAGTAAACACAGTGGTTAACAGGCATACGAATAGGGCGATAGAGAACTTTAAGAGACGAGTAGAATGAACTATTACAAATGTATTTGTAGCCTAAAAATTCCTTCTACATAGTTGAAAAGTTTTATTAAGTGTTGTATCCAAAGTATATATAATCTATGTGTAGCTTATTTAAATATCGAGGTTTTATAATTAGGGCTCTAAGATAGTCGATATAATTTTAAGGTTTCGGGCATATATAAAAATAAGGCTCATATCATAAATCAGCTCCAAGTTAAGCATAAGTAGTAAATAAAACGAACTGAAGAAAAAAGCGTGAAAAATTTTCCAAATTCAATTCATGTGGATAACAGCGTAATCGATTACTGATAGGAATTTTCCATTTGAAATTTGTACACTTGACGAATGATGAATCCTATGTGTGTCCTTTCAGGTTCGCACGCGTACAATGCGCGAACTGGTTCAATTTTACTACCAGTGGAAGAAGAGTGAGCGCCGGGATCAGACCTTTGCACTTAACGATACTATTGATCACATGGATGTGTTCATAAACGAAGGTGGCAATGGGAATGGAACCGGGAATGGAAACGGCAGTTGCTCATCTCTAGCGAGCAGCGGCAGTAGCAGCAATGGTCACAGCAATGGCAATGCTGCTGTGGACGAAAAGGATGCAGCCATGATAGCAGTGGCAGTGGGAGCAGTAGGAACAACGACGCCAGCAGCGGGCGTCAATAAAAAATCTACAACGAAAAATTATTCCATTATGACTGGCGGCAGTACGGCAGCTTTGACCACTCGCAAGCATGGCATCTCTATCGCACTCGAAGAGGACGATATGGAGCAGGAGAATGGAGTGGAAAGCTTAAGTTAAGGTCAAACGATGGGAAATTACGGGGTGGGCAAATTGGGAGCAGAGCATTTGAGCCAAATGCGCAGGCGCTTGAGACTCAACGATTGCTGCTGCTGCGAATAGGATGTGGCATTACTATTAAGAAAATCAAACATTCATTATAAAAATACATTATCTCTTTAAATATTTGTATGTATATATGTATCTGTATAAAGAGAAAAATATATATATGTATGTATACATGTCAAAGAAATAACAAAAACTACCTCTCACAAAATATTAATCTTTTTTCTTCTGTGCTGTATCATATTAATGCAGAAAAATGTATAAAAATATGTGCATACATATGTATGAATGTATGCAAAGGCCATGCACCCATACATACATACATAACTCTCTATGTGTACATCTTGCGACGTATGTGAGTTTAGAAAACGTAAGAAACTCGCATTTTTCGCCGTGAATAGCTGAGGCAACGCTTAACAGATTGTCTAGTTTCGTCTTTATGTATGCCGTAAGAGCTAATCAGAATTTATATTTTCCTTATAGAGCTAAAACAAGATTTTACAGCTGTTCGTTCGAACTCCTTCAACTGCTGCAAGGATCAAATGTCAAGCTCAGCGGCAGATAAAATAAACACGCAGACAATTCTCATATTCGCCTTTGCTTGCAATTTCGCACACACACAAGCTCAAGCGACCGCACGTACACTCGAGTCTCAAGCATAGAGAACCAAATGGGAGATAGCAGTAAAACAAAAACAGGGCCAGGCCCAGACGAGCGAAGATCGTGCAAAACGAAGTTTTCTGTTGGGTCTTGTATTTCTACTGGTATCGATGCTACACATGACACTCACACACATGTATGTACACATACATACGTATGTGTCTAGTATGTACATACAACATACACATATGGAGAGGCGTACACATTTACGTGTGTATCAGCTCCTCTGTTCGTTTTTACGTTGACTTCACTGGCGTAGCGTGAACATTTTACGTTCAGGTTCGCTCCATGCCACACAGCTCCAGCTCAGCTAGCCAGCCAGCCAGGCAGTCGACCGTAGTGAGCGAAAAAATCCAGTTTTGTTTAAAAATAAACAAAGCGCAACAACTGCGCACGCTACAATCCTCAGCTTGCAGCATATTCGTGTGTTGGCGAGAAAGAGTGAGTGCGAAAGAATTAAGCTAGGATACGGTTGGAGATTCTAGCTGTAAGAATAAAAAAATTCGGCTGTTAATCAGCTAAGACTAGCTGCTGATTACGTTTGTATTTCTATAGTCGGCCAGCTGGTCAACAACAACAGCGCATTTGCAATTCGTTACGGCCGAGGCAAAGTTAACAACCGTAAAGCGTAAAGAGGAGACAGCAAAGAAACAGCCGTCAAGCGGGCAGCGGAAGCTTTACATCCGGATAGTAGACGTTGTCGACGAAACAGCGCGTCGGCCGGTGAGTTCTTCTTCTTCTTCGGTTTAAAGCAAAGCCTGTCTGCTTTGAGCCCTGCCTACGCGCTGGCTCCCTCTCTGCCTCTCTCTCGCTCTCACTCAACAACTGTCTCTCACACTCGCTCACTCTAGACTGCTTGTACATACACACATATCTGTTGATCGTTCGCTTTGCGTTGCGCCTTCGCCTTCGCCGCAGCCAAAAGGCACGTAAACTGGTTGCGTCGTCGTCGTCTGCGCCGTTGCCCGTACGCCGTTTGTCGTGGTCGGTGTGGCGTGCCCGTAGTTTTTCTTTTCTTTATACATTTTTGTTGTCTGTTTTGTGTGTTTGGCTGCGCTCTTTTAGTCTTGGTGTAGCGCTTGAGCCGCGCGAGTCGGACCTTTACACGGATCAAGCAAGCATCAGCCATGGAGCTGGCTTACAGCAATGCGTCATCGGCTTCCACTTCGCCACCCTCCGTTGGCGCCTTCGGCTTCACTAACACTGCCAAACTGCCCATCGAAACAGTGAAGCGGCTCATTGCCGCCGTCTCCCGCCGTCCCATCCTCTGGATGCGCACCAACGCGAATGGCCAAAAGCGCAGCGATATTACGCCC